AGGGGCTCGGTGCTCCTTAAGTGTTTCACAGCTTGCCTCAGGTTTTCCTCATGTTTCCGATGGGAAATCGAAGTTTAACTTGTGGAAAAAAGGGGCCTCGTTCCTTATTTAGGGTTCCTTAGGTCAACGCCCCGACTGTATGATGTTCTAGTTCGATTTCAGTTCAAAGGTTTATGTCACCAAAATCTCCACATGGGGGGTGGAGAGTTTCGGCTCGGTCTCAGCCCTCGCAGATCCAGAAATGAGACGCATGACGGCGATTTGGCTTGATTTCAGCCGTCGCAGGTCCAAACGTTGTGGCAGGGGCATCGGATTCACCATTCCAGCTGTCTTAGGTCCAGAAAAGTGTGGCAGGGCCATCGGCTTCTTACCATTCCAGCTGCCAGGACTGGAATCGCTCGGTCCCTAATGCTGTTACACGCGCGTTCATGCCACCATGTCGACATCATGAGCGTCACCCTCATCAGCAAGTTCCATGCCGCAGTCGTATCGATAGTATGATAAGGTCGTTCTCGTAAGCCGACGTTTCAGGCGTCCATCCGCTTCCACACCTTAATTGCTATTAGGGTGCCTTGTTGGTGTGATGTCTGCGTTTTGGGGTCCTCGGGTCCCAGGACCGTAACAAAAACAGTTCAGAATGAAAAGACGGTCTTGGGAATGGGTCGAGACGTCCTGGGGTCGAAGCTGTGAAAATTCATGCAGAAGCTGGGGTCGAAGCGGTCGACGTTGGGGGTTGGTTATTGAACAGATCCATGCAGAGCCGTTTCCCATGCTTCTCGGGGCCTTCGCTGAGCCCCGACGCCGTAGCAAAAACAACGCAAGATAACAAACCGGCCCTGGGGAAAGGGTCGGGACTGACCAGGGCCCCGAGGTGAACAAATCAAAACATCGGATATCGCGGACCATCCCAGCACCTTTTGGGGAATGGCGAAGTGCCTCTCCGAACGTTCGTCTTCTGGGCGGGAGTGCGCGCTGCGAAGCCCCCAGGGGGGTGGCGCTCATCCCCCCCGAAGGGCAGGTCGCCTCGCGGGGCCAAGGTTTTCCGACCTGGTGGTGGGGATGTTTTGGCCTGTCCAGAAGGACGACGGCTGGCGCGGCGGCGGCGCAGGCGGCGCGGCTGGCGCCGGGGATGCTATGGCCGTGGCGGAGCAGCTGTCGATCGTGAGGTATTGGCGTTGGCCCCGCACGGGGCGCACGGCTCGTAAGTGGCACGCCATCGCCGCGCGTGGCCAGGGCCCCCCTGGGCCCCTGGATGGCGTGCGGTGTGCAGGGCGCTTCTCTTGGCCTCGGCCGTCGGGGCGCGGGCCCTACGCCAGGGCCCAGGGTGGCCCTGGCCGCGCACGGTGGCGGTGTGTCGGGCGCCCTCCGTGCACAACGGGGCGGCGCGCGCGAGAGGGGCGGGGCGGCAGAGGAGCTGCCTTCTGAGGAGGGCCATCCCCGCTTCTGGGAGGGCGTTTTGGGCGCACGGTTACTTCAGGCAGCGCCCGCCAGCTTCCACGGCCGGCCCCCCCCCCCGCCTTCCCAGATCTCCGACGGTACGACTTCTGCTCAGTCCCGGCGCTTGGGCCCCCGGGCCAGGACGAGCATCTGCCCCTCCCTGGGGCCGCGCATTGGGAGCACCGCATCCGCGGACGTCTTGGCTCTTAGAACAGCGCCTCTCTCACCCCCGCTCCTCTCCCGAGGCAGGGATTTATCCATAACCACCGTCTTCGAGATCGATCTCTGGGGACTTCGGCAGGCGGTCGATCAGGACATGTTCGGGTCCCCTGGGGCCGAAACATACCCACATCCACCGCCCGCTGCGTTCCCAGGTGTCGGCTCCCAGGGCGGTGGATGTGCACATGTCCCGCCCCGCACCCTCTTCGCTCGACGCCGGAGGTCGGATGGGGCCACGTCCAACAACCGCGGGGCGGACGAGGACGAGGACCTCTTTGCGGCGGCCCGCGGCATGAAGCTGTTCCACATCTCCGACGTGGACGTGCGCCCGCCTCCCCACACCATGGATAGGTCCCGGGAGGGGGACGGCGCCGACGCCTCCCACCACTCCTGCTCCGTCCAGCTCCTCCTGCTCCTCCTGCTCCTCCTGCTCCTGCTCCTGAGCCCCTGAGAACCGAGCGCTGCAACTCTTCCACGCCGGGCGTTTTCGACTGGTCCCGGGCCCCAGGACCACCGCAGATTGATCCAGCTCGAGACATGCCGCAGAAAGATGGGGGTCCTGGGCTCCAGTCGTGATGTTTCGCGGGCCCGTGCTTTTGGTTTGCAGCGTCGCATCTCGGGGTCTCCTGCTCGCGTTCCTGTGGCCTCCTTCCGCGTCGCCCGCTCCTGCACCCTGCGCCTCGTAGCTTGGCGCCGAGGAGGAGGAGGAGGGAGGAAGGAGGAGGAGGAGGAGGAGGAGGAGGAGGATATGATGAGGAGGAGGAGGAGGAGGAGGAGGAGGAGGAGGAGGGAGGGAGGAGGAGGAGGGAGGAGGAGGGAGGAAGGAGGAGGAGGGAGGAGGAGGAGGGGAGGAGGAGGAGGAGGAGGAGGAGGAGGGAGGAGGAGGGAGCAGCGGAGGCCTGGTGAGGATCGCACTTCATGTGTCGCCGCACCGTCGGTTCCCGACGCGTGGCCTCCCGTCGCCGAGGGGGCGCCTCGGCCACCAGGGCAGACGCCGCCTCGAGCGCAAGGTGGGCCGCTGGTTTGCCGCGGCGTCGGCTCCGTCTGCGTGGGCGCGCTCAGGGCAAGCGGCGCGGCCACGCGCTCGTACAGTCAGAACGTATATTAAGGACGCGTGGTAAGGACGCAAGACCCTTGGAGGCTGAAGTTGGGATTTTTTGGGCGGCGGCGACCAGTGAAAACGGCAAAGGACGGGCCACAGAGGCAAGGACGCAAGGGCATCCTAGATGAAGGCGCGCGTCCTTACTAGGCGCGTTGACTGTATTTCGCCTCAGATCGCTACTCCGAGCTCCCTTCCAGCCGTGTTTCTGTTTCGCTTCCTGCCATCACTGTCACTCCCACCTGTGTCCTTGACTGCTAGATTCTATGCTCCCGCTCCCCCTGCTTCCGCCCCAACGGGGGCCGCAAGCAGGACGTTCCGCCACACCAGCCCAAAAAGATACAAATGGAGATGCGGCCCTTTCTGTCAGGACGCTCAACGGCCCCCATGGACGGCGCTCAACGGCCTCCGTGGGCCCAAGATTGGCCATGCTGCCAGGACACTTTCCATGCACGTTCTTGGCGCTATCATTCCCCTCAGTTCTCCTCCCTCTTCTCCCAGATTCGTGTTCGACAGCTGTAGACGCTTTGTCGTCGGCGTTGCAAGTATGCGTTGCACATCTGGGGGACAACAGCGAGATGATGCTCTCGCCCCAGCGCCTCGCAGCTCTTTCCTGACAGTTGCGTTCCCGCTCGGGCTTGGTGTTCAGCCGCCAGGCCGATCTCCTGTGGAGACGCGCGCGGAAAGGCGAAGCACTGCTCGCGCGAGGGCGCTACGCGGGCTTGCTCTCGGGGCTGCGCTCTCGTTCGGGCACGCCGCGCGATTTTTGCCCGCCAGGTCCAGTGGGGATTTGCACGGCAGCCTGGCAATCGCATAAGCACTTTAGTGTGCACAGGCCGAAATTATGCGTAACACGCTGCCTCCGAAGTACATTTTGAACCGGAGAGGGTTGGCGAGTTTGAAATAGGGCGGTCGTGCTCCCTTCCCCGCTCGGACGGGTCCTAGACGACGACGAAGACGAAGATGAAGAAGACGGCGACGACGGCGATGAAGAAAACGATGACGAAGAATACGACGAACCACGGCGAGGACGGCGACGACGACGACGACGAAGAGAGAGGAGGCGGCGACGACGTCGGAGACGACGATGACGACGACGAAGAGATTAAGGACGACGCCGGCGACGGCGACCACGACGACGATGACAACGGCGGCAACGACGACGACAGGTCTGGGATGGCACCCCTGCCGGGCTGGAACGGCAACGTGGGGCGCCAAAGGGTCGAGCGGTGATGGGGAGCTGGGCCTGCGCGCCGGCGGGGGCCGACACCATCGGCGTATCCTTGCGCCCCTCCCCGCCGCCGATTCATCCTCATCCTTCGTCTCCTCGTCCGCCTTCGTCTCCTCCTGTGCCTCCTCCGCCTCCTCCTTCTCCGCCTCCTCCGTGTGGACGTGCGTCGACGTCCACATGCGCCCCGATCACTCCTGCGCAGAACAGCGACAGTACGATTTTGGCAGCCGTCCACGCCATCCAGCAGGGCTTCATCCCGCAGCACCAGTTCATCCAGCATTTTGCACGGCTGGACGCCCAGTCGCGTATCGCCTCGAACTTGCTGGACGCTGCCGCGGCCAAGCCGTACTTCATCAGCTTCGACATGAGGGCGGCGTTCCAGTCGCCAGCGCGGCGGTGTTTGTGACAAATCCTCCGACGTGTTCTCTTGCCCGACGGGTGCATCAACGCGACCATGTCGCTCTACAAAAGCGGCCTGGTCTTCAGCCGCACTCGAAACATCCACGTGCTGATGTTCTGGGCCACGGGCGGCGTCGCCCAAGGTTGCCCGTTGTCGGGAACTCTGTGGGCGATGGCGATCGACCTCATATTGCGGCGTATACACCATGAGATCGCCACTAGCGGCAAGGGCTACTCCTGGAGTGCGCGCGGACGACGTCGGGGCCATGCTGAACATACCCGAGCACCTACCGAGCGTGCGCCCCGTGTTCGAGGCCGCTGAGCGGCTGGTGGCACTGCGTTTGCAGACAAGGAGCGCAGTTCTCGTGCGACTCAGGTGCGAGGTTCCTCTGGACGTGCGTCTAAAGATCAGAACCGCCGCTGCTGCGGCTGATTCCAGATTGGTCGAAGTTGAGAGTTGCCGGTTTCGCCCATTACCTGGGGGTCCAGATGTGCCCAGGAACAGCAAACCTCGATCAATGGAAAGTGGGCGGCCGAGCAGACATGATTAGAGCGAGCTTGCACCATCCCCAGTACTCGCGCCCCCTCTGATACCTCTCTGCGCTCCTACCCCACCCAAGCCTTATTTGTGCTATCATACCTGGCCCAGTTTTCCCGCCCTCCTCAGTCTACGCTTGATCGTGATCGTGGCTTATTGCACTGAGCCCTGCACTCAGGATGGGGAAAAAACACACAGACACAATTAATCGTCGATTCCCCCGAAAAGATGGGAACATATGGGAAGTGGGGGGGGGGGAAGACAAAAACACCGAAAATATGGGAACATATGGGGAATCCTGTTATTTGTGTCTATTTATTTGTGTGTTTGTGGGCCCCTTCAGGCGCCTCCCTCCGAACTCACTTGATGGCCTTACTCGTCACTTCTTACGCCGCTGGGCCCCAGGAGGGCGCCATAGGCCGCTAGCGCCCTGGAGCCAAGTCCACCTGTGGCGCACGGCTGGCTTGACAGTGCGAGAGTGGGGCCCATGGTTTTTCCAGCTGCGAAACAGTGCAGGAAATTCCCGTGAAGTCATCGCGCTTCTCCGCGGCGAATGGTTTGGACCGCTCTGGAAGGAACCACAGGCCATCGCGCAGAGGTGGGCCGAGGCAATAGGTAGCACACCGTGGCGCAAGCTCTCGCGGTCGCGCCTGTTTGCGGCAGTTCGGGCTGCGATCCAAGGATGCGTTGCCGCTGCTGCCGAGCAGCGCCCAGCACGCCCCCAGAGTCTGTACCTCCCCTCCCTCGCCACATCCCTCTATCTTGACTCCATGCCCAGCCTCTTGCGGAGGCTGTTAGAACAACTTGTTGGTGAGTTAGCTGCACTAGGGATCCGTGAGCCCCACTAAAGCTGGCCCCAGCTGGAAGCGATTTTCATCAATTCGAAGCCAACGTGGTTTTGGGCTCACGTCGCAACCGCAGTGTGCGGGTAGGCGACCACTTACAGTGCCAAGTTCGAGGCACCGGCCAATTTTGTTTGTCGGATGCCCTCGTTGTCTGGATTCTTTTCCTCACTACCTCACTTGCCCCCGTCTCCTCGGCTTCATGTCCCTCGTCCACCGCCCTGCCCCCTTCACTCGCATCATCCGCATCGGGCTCGCGCTCCCGCCATGGCATACCTCCCAATTCGAGCGAGAACACGCCCATGCATAAACAGTGCTGTCATTTCACTGTTATATCAAAGTGCGGCACGCTGCATCCCCGACCGCATCCCACCATCACGCGTTCAATTATTGCACGCAGTGCAAGCTGCCATCAGCATGTCGACGACGAGATCGGCACCCGCTGCGCCTCGTGCCATTTGCGCTCCTCCGCCTCTTACGCCTGCGCTTCTGCCTCCTCCTCCTCTTCCTCCTCCCTGTCCTCTTCTTTTTCCTCCTCCTTCTCTTTCTCCTCCTCCTCCTCATCCTGCTCCTTCCTCTCCTCCGTAGCTTTTCTAGTTCAAGATATCTGTTCCCTTGGGAACCACATGGGCGCCGCTGATCCGCGGCCAGTCCCCGTTTCTTCCTGAGTCCCCGTCGGAGCAGCAGCCTGCATGCTCGGCGTACGCGGCGTGTGTAAATTCAAGCATTTTCAGTTCTTGCCGCGGCGCGCGCCATCCAACCGCCATGCGTTTCATCATCTTCCAGGCATCCTTGCGCGGCTCCTGACGTCGAGTGTCACGTTGGATTGCGGTGGCGAGACACTGGTTATGGTTAGCTCTGGGCGCTTAACCCCATGGCACGTCCGAGCTGGAGGCTGACAGGCGGAGTCGGAGTTCTCAGGGTTCTGGCCTTCTTCGCGAGGATCGCCGTCGCCCGCGCGAGTACGATCGCCGAGACCCGCACGAGTGGACGTGCACTGCATGGGCGGCGGGGCCAGGACCGTGACCCGCGTGAGCGCGAAACAAAGGGCACCCCTGGCGAGAACGGCGTCCAGGACGTGCCGCCGGAGCGCCATCCTCGGGTGCACCGCGAGGGCCCCAGCTCGTCCGACGTGAAGACGAGGCGGCACTCCTGGCAGGCTTTGACGCGTCAGCCACGTTCCCCGATGACCATTCGCCAACGCCATGGGCCCACGCGCCACCTCGGGCAGTTACTGGAGCCGCAGTCGCAGCGGCGTCGGCGCAGCTTGCGGAGGTGGGAAGGAGTGTGCAACGGCAGTGTCTTATTGAACTGGCCAGGAACATACGAAGGCTGGGCGCGCATATTATATAATTTCACGACCTGCGTCAGCGGCAGTAAGCAGCGGCCAGTGGGGGAAACAAAAACAGGAAACAATTTACGAAGTCAGTTGGATCGGATTCGCGAGTATCTGTCAGTGGCCAGCGCTCAACTTCCAGTGGGCGCCGATGACCTTGCCAGCTGGGACAGGCATCTTAACGCGCGCGCACTTTCGATCGGCGCTGTCGCCCCCGCTGCGCCACAAGCAGCGCGAGACGGGCCGGGGGAAGGGGCTCGCGCAGCCGGCATCGAGGCCGTTCAGACCGACCTCCTGGGAGATGTCGTCGCTCGACGCTTCGCGCTCCGCGTCGGAGGGCTTCATTTGGAAGCGAGTGGTCGGGCATCAGCGCCCGTGAGGGACTTGCGCGCTGCGGCAAGCCAGAGGTCCTTCAAGGCGACTTCCAGTGAGAACGCGCTCGTTGACGCGCGCTTGCGCGGGCAATTGCCGGAAGACGGCGCGAGGCGAGGTTCAGACCAAGGAGAAGTTCTTCATGCTGCAGTAGAAGCATCCTTCGGTGGAGGCGCAGGCGCGCGCGCCGCCAGGCCCCCGTCGACCCCCGCGCTTCAAGGTCGAGCCCCTGGGCCAGGTCGGGCCGTCTAAACCGCTGTGGAACATGGGGGCCGTCGCTCAATATGCGATCGGCACTGATGACGACAACTGTGCTATCAAGCAGGCCTTCGACGCAGACAGGGGCGCGCAGCGGGCGGGGCCCCGCGCGCTGGGCTCCGCCGGGCCCCCCCGAGCGCGACGCGGCGCGTCGCGTGGTTCGAGGATCATATGCCGGAGTGCTCCGAGCTTGCTGCGTGTCCACTCTCGGAAGCTCGAGGTCGATCTCCACATGTTTTCTGAGCGCGCGCGGCAGAGGTTTGCGGCTGCGCTGCAGGAGGCGAGGGTCGCTTAGCTGGTCGGCCAAACCTCCTACGCCTACGAGTGCCTCGTGTCATCTTCGTCTCCGACTGCAGGTGGCCTCGCGTTTCTCGTCGCCGCCTTGCCCCCGGCGCGCCGAGGCCGTCGCCCTGTCTCGCGGAGATCGCGGCGGGGCGCGCCGCTGTTTTCTCGATGTTCTCCTTCCCCCGCCCATTTCAGGCGCGCATTCTGAACGTCGGCAATCGCGAGTTGGCTGCTGCTGAAGTCAACGACGTCGCGTTCTTCTGGAAGCGGCAAGCCCGCGCTGTTGCAGATGACCCTCGTGTTCATTTTTTCCTGCCGCCAGTGATTGTCCCCATCGGAGCATCTCTTTCACGGCGCGCGACTCGCGGGGCCCCGCCCCGCTCCCTTCGTTTCCTGCCGCGGTCGAGGGCGGCCCGCGCAATCGCGCCAGCGGCGCGCGCGTTCGTTGGGCATCGAGATCACGGGGGGGCCCGCCGCCCGCCGCGATTCACGTCTCCAGCCGGTCGCCTTGACGGAGCCCTCCATCGCCGGCAAGGCGCCCCAGATGTCATGTCTTGAGCTCGCTCATCGCGCCGCCCAGGGCCGCGCCGAGCTTTCCGATCGCGGGCCGCCGGGTCGCGCCGCGCTCGGGGCGAAGGTCCGACCCGCCAGGCGCGGCGCGCAAGGAGGGCGCGCAATCCCGGCCCGCCTCTTTCGCGCGCGCGAGTTTCAGGAAGCGTTTAAGAGCATGGCGCAGAGCTCCTAGCTCGACGCGCGCCTCGATGACCGCGCGCGGGCCAAGGCCGGGGCGCCCCTCGCGAGGCGGCGGCGCTCGCCGGAGATGCGTCTCAGGGGCCTGATGACATTGATACCGCGCGCTCTGATGCTCCGATTGCACGCGCAATGACGCGCTGAGCATCGCGCGGTTTTCCGCCACATTGCTTCGCCCTCCCTCGCTGCTTCCCATTGCTTCGCGGTCGACTCGGTCGCCCGCGGCGCGCGCGATGCCGCGAGCGACGCGCGGCGCCGGGCCCGCGCGTTGCAGGCGCGCGCTCGCGCTCATGGGCTTGATCAGGTTGGC